TTTTTTTTTTTTTTTTTCTCCGGTTTCTTTCTTCTAGTGTTCCTTTTTCTCAATCAGTTTCGAACCCACAACCTGTGTTCATTTGCAGTGAGGGCATACTCAAACTAGCACAGACTTGGACGAATCTGGCCGCAATCACGTCCAGAGCTTCGTAGAAAACGTCCCGGTGTGGGTCTGCCCTTATATATGCCTGCCATTAAGCTACGCCTGCTCTTTTTGGTTGTTTTCGGTCTCGCTTCGCTACGGCGACTACTCGATTGGTGCTGTGCGTAGAGGCGATGGCGGCATCTCAGCGCCGCGCTGTGTATTCCTCAGAGTTTGTCGGATGCGGCAAAGGCCGCATCTTGCCGCCGCGTTGTAGCTTGTCTCGCGGCGTCGCTTTCATTTTTCCGTTTTCCCAGCCAATACTGACCCCTTTACCAAATTTAGGGCTCCATACCCCCTCTACCAAGTTTAGGGGTTCAGCATTATGGAAATGTCGTACCTATTTGCCCCTACCCCTTCAACCTCATCCTAGAGGCCCGGTATTTTTTTAATTTTTTTTATTTGTTTTTCAAACAAACATCTGGCTCCATTCTATTAGTGGGGAGCAACACTTGCTGGGAACCGGGCCCACCGTCCCTCATAAGATCCAAGATGGAATCAGGGGCCGGGGTCCCCACAAGCTACCCGGTGAGGAACAGATAAGTAACTGAATAAATGCCAAAGAGATTATACCTGGTTTACAACATAGGTACTGAGGGAGATAGGGAATACAGAGAGCAGGTCATGGGGCTAGCTGGCTTAAAGTGAGGGCCTCCAACAAGAATTAGGTTCTAATTTCGGGATGGTCCCAAATCAAGTCCGCATAACTTAGCTTACCATCTTCCGAGATATTAGCCCACTGGAAAGGACATGACCACTTCATCCGAAAGAGAGAGCCGGCTAGTTCTGTGGAATCGGAGCTGTCCTTGATCCTCTGCCAGTCAGCAGTTATATCTAGCCTTACTGACTGCTTGTACTGAGAAATCAAGGTGGGTAAGTGAGAAGTAGTGCCTTTGAATCTTCTGTCATTTCTAGCTAGCCAGAGCTGCCAGAATCCTCTAGTTCTGAATATAGCAGCTATTTTGCCGGCCTGTTGCTTCTGGAACTGGCGTTTCACTCTACCAGTGAAGTCCATGTCTTGATCCCAGAAACCTACTGTATTATATGCTTTATTCCATAAGGTATTGAGGAAATCCCAGAAACCTCTGGCAATGACACATTCCCACCATAAGTGCATCCAATCTTCTAGAGAAAGATGAGGGCAGGTGTCACAACTAACTTGGACCTCCATCCCCGTCTCTGAGCACCAGAGGGCTGTGGGGACACATGAGTGGAGATGCAGCCATTGAAGCCCGCCTGCTTTGGTTTCTATAGACGAGAGAAGAGTACTTATAAACATAAATACCCATTTCTGTGAAATTGAATGCAGTCTGAGTGAGGAGGATCTTAGGCTCCAACTAGTCGACAACCCTGCTATCATACTGTGGGATTCTGAGTGGACTTTATTGCCTGTACTGGCAGTGTATTCATCAAGTGGAACTTTCGTCACAATGCCATTCTCATCAGAGATCTTCCAACCAATTTTAGACACGTCGACCTTCCAACTATTAATCGGGGCCGCTTGCATGGCTAAATGGAGGGATGTAGAATTGTTCTTCTTTCGCTGATAAACCCTGACTTCCTCCATGCCTGTGAGCGAGATACTCCTTGCGTCGCTGATTTGTTCAAGCCTGGAATCCCTCCATTTCCATTCTGATGCTTCCACAATGTCATCTTCCTTAATCGTGTCTACCCTGCTGTACTCTGTATGTGTTCCCTGGCTTGGCAATGATTGTAACCCAATCTTTTGGGATGGCCAATATCAGAGCAGATAGGTGATCCTGAATCTGATGAAGTCCTGAGAGTGTATGCCTCAGGTCAGCTGCCGTCTTCCAGGACTGTGTCTCCTCATTCCAGATATGTCGGACCAACCAGATTCCGCGCTGCATCCAATTCAGACCAAACTTACCTGTCACTTTGATTACTGAGAAAGGGAGATTAGTCGTATCTCTGATTGAGGGATTTTCAAAAAGACAAGAGTTGAGAATTTCGGTCCTGGAGGCCGGGTGCTCAATGGTTTGGGGAAGCATCCTACCCCATTCCTTGAGTACGCTGCTCTAGGTTTTGCCAGATGGCCTAGCGAGAAAAGGACGCATAAGGAGCGCGTGCCAGACTGCTTCAGGGTCAAAACGGTGCCACTCGTGAGCCAGGTGGTGTTGCATCAGCAGGATCCATGGTTGCTGTTCGCAAGTAGTGAGGGCTCTTACTGACCATTTGGCTAGTAGAGCTCTGTTCTGTGTGGTAGGATCGAGGATTCCGAGACCCCCAACTTTTTTCTTTTCTGTTATTTTGGACCAGCTGACCTTACTCAAGGCCGTGGCTGACTCAGAGTCACCTTTCCAAAGTAACCGTGTTAGTAGTCTCTTGATATTTATTGCTGATTGAGGTGGCAGTGTACGAATGGAAAGAATATACCAGATCTTAGAAGTGATGAAAGTATTAATTACCATAGCCCGACCGAAGAGTGAAAGGAAACGGGCTTTGGACCATATAGAGCAGGCGTCACGAATCCTGTTTTCAATTATAGAAGTTTGGGTATCCATTGAAGGAGACTTGGATGCCCAAGTATCTTTCTGATTTTGATTGCTGTTTGACTGGAATGTTGAGGTCTAAGGCCAGCGGTTGTCCATCCGGTGTGAGGGCCACCGATTTCTGCCACCTGACCCTCATTTCTGAAGCGATTTCATATGCGTTCAGACACTCTTCTAATGCCGATAGGGAAGCAACTGTATTATCAGAGATAGCCGAAAAATCATCTACTAGTGCAAAAACCTTGATGGAATGAGTAGGGGATATCTGAAGGCCCACATAGTTTGGGTGGTGCCGAACCATGTTTAGGAAAACTTCCAACTGTATGACAAAAAGTGATGGAGCCAGAGGGCAACCCTGTCGTAGCAAGCGGGTGACTTGAAACGAGTCAGAGGGGTGACCATTAACTAATACCCTCCCTGAGGATGCGCCATATAAGGCCTTGACCATCTTCCTAAAATTTTGTCCCACACCAATTCGTTCCAATGTTGCTTGAACAAAATCCCAATTGACACGATCTTAGGCCTTTTGAAATTCAATCAGAATAATTGTTTTATTCTAGCTGTGCCCAATTATCCAATCTATAGACTGTGAAATGGTCATAACATTATCCAGGATTTGTCGCCCTGGGATAAAGCCAGATTGATCGGGGTGGACAAGTTTGGTAAGGAAGGGTTTTAGCCGCCTGGAGAGGGTTTTGGCTAGGATTTTACCACGCACATTAAGGAGGGATATTGGGCGATAGTTCCTGATATCTGATTTATCTCCTTTCTTATATAATAATGTGATAATGCCTTCGGCTGTGCGTGGGCCCAGGGAATTGTTTGCTAGGATCGAGTTAAACACGCGCAAGAGATCGGGAGTGATCAAGGACCAAAAACGGATATAAAACTCCACAGGGAGGCCATCAGGTCCTGGACATTTACCCTTAGCCATACTCTGTAGTGTCGCTGTTAGTTCGGACATTGTTATGGGCTTTTCCAACTCGGATGTTTCTAGGTCAGAAAACTGCTTTGTCGTGGAGCCCCACAGGAGGCTTTCCAGATGGGGAGGAATAATGGGACCTCCGGGCTCCTTCTCAGAAGTGAGCAATTGTTTATAGAATAATTTAACGTATTCGCATAATTTAACCGGGTCCCTAGCGGGCGGTTCCCTAGGGTCCTCCGGGTGTGACAAAAGACAAATGAGTGGATTGTTGTGTGTGTGGCGAACAGCATTAGAGGTCTTGTTGGTAACACGGTCAGCGTGTAAGATTCTGTCAATCTGCCTATACTTATTCCAAAGACTGTGATTTGCAATCTGCAAATTCTGCCATTCCTGGCGAAGTCTGTTCCTTTTCCTGAGATTGTTTATTTCTGAAAAAAAACAGCTTGAATTGCTTCTTTCTAATTTGTCAATTTTCCTTTGCAGTGTTATCTTTTTATACCTGCGATTAACTGCTTTAACTCTATAGATCAAGTTTAATTGGTTTGAGACTAGAGTAAGGCCTTTGTCTAGCCAATTTCCCTCACTTTCGAAAATGACAGTATTGTTATGTCATTCCTCCCATGTTTTCCAAATTCATTCAACTACCCCAG